TGCAACTTCACTTTATCGTGTCTCTCGTTGTATTGCGGCCGTTTGTCTTTCAATGCTCGGCTCAAACGCATCAATTGCATTCGATATCGATCACCTGTGATTGTTTCAGTTGGTTTTAACAGTTCATAATACACTACGCCGAGCTGATCCCACCAAATACAGAGCATGACCTTGGACGTCAAAATCACCGTTCTTGAAGCGTTGAAACCACTCATGACACGTTCTTTCACTAATAGCGGCCTCACCATAAGTATTTGAGAGCATTCGATGAGCTTCAGCCGCAGATTTCTTCATATTGAAGCAAAAAATTAAAACCTCCCGCAAATGACGAGAATTTGGCTCGTAAACTGACATTTTCAATCGAGAATAACTTTATGATGCAGACACAAATCGACTAATGTTTCTATGGGGATGTTGACAGATGCCCAAGTTTATTGTATGACGTCTATGATCTATTTATTTCGACCACTTACCGCTAAAGCCATCTATAGGAAAACGGCGGAAGCAAAGTTGTACACCTGTAATATTTTCATCTTCCTTCCATCTTTTTTATTCTTTATTTAGTATTCGATAAATGCTTTTAGGCAGTTGACGTGTATACATTTAATTTTTCGTCCTATTTTTATCTTGTAATTGATAATTGATAGTTTCTCGATAATTTCATATGGTCTTGTTCATGATGAAATTATACTAATATTTTCGATCGATCTCTTCGTCAGAGTTTCGTCGTGGAGCAATACCTTGTCTCCTAGTTTGAATGAGATAGCTTTAGTATCTTTATCGTATTCTTGTTTGAAGGTTAGTTTAGCTTTAATTATATGTTCTCTAACGATTCGATTGGTCGCCCGTAGTCGCTCTTTTAATTCTTTGGCATAATCGTCATAACAGTACGTAGAATTTGGAGATTTTGTTAGCGCAGAAGGTAACGTTGCTTAGTATCCAAAAAACTAATTCGAATGGAGTATATCCTATTGCTGTGGAATAATGTTGTATGTGGACATGGCGTAGGGAATTCATCCATTCATTCCAATCCGTTTGATCCGCGTTAATATAATATCGCAAATACTCTGCCAAGGTATGATGAGAGCATTCTAACCGTTGCTCTCAGGATGATACGCAGTTGTCTGTACTGATTTTTAATAGTTTACAGACATTTTTAAACATTTCATTTACGAAGTTGTGTGCCCTGGTTGGTTAATATTTTGTCAGATATTCCATGTTCAAAAATAATTTTGAGTGTAAATTATTTTGCTATTTCGGCAACTTCTTGATTTGATATAGGTATAGCTTTACTGAATTTAGTGATAGAGATTATCTTGGAAGGTAATATATATTTATTTCTATGATTGCTCATCGTAATGGGCCGACGATGTCTAAAGCATTTCTCGAAGACTCGTTGAGCCGTATCCGTGATTTCCAGTGGCTTTTGTTCTTCCTTTTAATTTATTTTTCTAGCATGTTTCGTATCTCGCGATATAATTTTCTACGTATTTAATTAATCCTGGCCAATTTCAATCGAATCTGTTTAATAGTTCTTTCTGTTCCTTGATATCCTCCTAAGAGTTGTAATATTCACAAAATATTCGTTGTTTATCTGCATCTATTCGTTCATTTTATTGTTATTTTCTTCATGTGTGCCTTCGTTTGTCATATCTTTTGATGAAGCAATAGTGCACTTATGCATCGGATTAATGCGTCCACGTTCATGTGCAATTTGCCTGCATGATAAATAATCTCGTAATCATATTCCTCTAATTAGAGTCTCCATCGGTTGATCTTGATCCAGGGTCAGTTACATTAAATAACCAACTAAAGGCTGGTCAATTATTATTTTAAATTTTGTACCATACAAATACAGTCGGTAAATTAATGCTTAACTGCCCAAACTGTGGCTAATAATTTAATTTAATATATATAATAATTTTCGGTAGTATTGTATTACTCCGCTCTTGACATTATGTGACTAGCGTATGTTATTGGTCTGTATGTTAGCGCATGTTATCTGTCTTGACCCAAAGTTCCTTGAAAGAGTATAACCCCGATCGCGTAATCAGATGCGTCGGTAGTCACAAGAAATTCTCGTGTGAAATCTGGATATTGAAGCACGTGTGCGATAATCAATTTACTTTTTAGCAATTTGAACGCATTTTGTTGTTCGACTGTGCATACAAATGGTTCTCCTTTCTTTATCAGTTTAGTTATAGGTTTGGAGATCTTGAAAAAATGTTTGATAAATTTCCTGTAATATCCTGCTAATCCAATGAATGCTTATATCTCTTTTATTTTTATTGGAATAGGAAATTCACTTATAGCTTTTAATTTAGTCGGATCTAGGTTGATCTCATTATCTGTTATTACATGCCTTAGATAAATGACCTCTTTTCTGAGAAATTCGCATTTCTCAGGCTGTAATTTTAGTTTGTGCTGTTTCAGCTTATTGAATATTTCGATGAGCCGCGCGTTATGCTTCTGTAAATCAGCTCCGTACACGACTATGTCATCTAAATATACTAAACATTTAATACCTTGTAACCCAGTTAGAATTCATTAATCTTTAAAGATGGAAAAGATTGGCTGGCGCATTTTTCAATGAGAAAGGCACTATCCTATTAAATTTGTGATGCCCATAAGCGGTTGAAAAAGCAGTTTTGCCCTTATCCAACTCAGTCATGGAAATTTGATGGTAATCAGACGCTAATGTAGTCTAATGTAGTAAAATATTTAGCGTTTCCTAGCTGATCCAATATATCGGTATTAGACAAAGGAAAAGAATCCTATAGTCAAGTCATTCAATTTTCTAAAGTCTACGACTATGCGTAATTTAGGTGTTTCTGTTGCATCAGATAATATCCTTTTTGGATATTAATAAAGTAATGGCGCATTCTGACTATTGCTTATCGTATTATTTCGTCTTTAAGCATTATGCGTATTTGCTTGTACACTTCTTTCTTATGCTTCTCGGGTATTCGATATGATTTCACAAGGCGCATTGTTTATCTGCGTGTGAATTTCAAATATGACAGTATTGGTACGCGTTAATGGATCTCCTTTCAAATGGAATATGTCATTGTACTGTGTGCAGATTTCTGTTACTCTTCTTTTCCTCAACATTTAACTGCTTTAACTTTAACGTATTTTCGATGCAGGTTTTCGTAGGAAATCAATTCCAAGTATGCCTTCATAGTCGATTGGAAAATCATCTGCATTATGTACATGGAGTGCTGTATCTGGCGTTCATCTAATAGTATGGTAACAATTATTTTTCCTGTAACAGTTATTTCGTCCTGTAACTCCAACTAATCATTTTCAAATATTAACGTTTTTCAAATTCCGTAATTTTACAAGGGTTATTGCTGCTCCAGTGTCGAAAAGAAATTTAGTTTTTCTTGAATTCTTTCATTTGCGAATTTATTAAATTCAGCCCTGTACTGGCTCATGGCACTTCAGTGACTTGCGAAATTTGGTAGATTTTGGCAGTTTCGTCCTTGCAAAATCGGTTTCTTCTCCTCCTTCCATCGCCATTTTATTTTCTGCTGTATCCAGTCTTCGGATTTTTCCGTCATGTGTTTTCTCCCCTGATGCGGTTTCTGAGCGTCCATTTAACGTTTAGCGTTCGTTACGGATGTGTCCTGTCTTTCTGCAGTAGTTGCAATATTTTGCAGCTGTATTTATGTTATCTTGTCTCGGCTTTGGCAACAATGTCGGTCAACATTGGTTCGGCATTCTTGACCACTATGTCCCATTTTCCCACATTTTTTTGACAATATGATCTTCAATGATTTAACAAGTTTGAGTGCCGAGACTTATTACCAAGTGGTCCCTTGATTTTTTTCTTCAGCAGTGGCCCCTGCTATTGCTTCTTGCAGTGTAGCATAATGTTGTGACTTCACAAGTAGTTTGATTTCATCTCGCAATCCTATTTGGAAATTCTGTAGAAATTCTTGTTTTTGAATAATATCTAAAATTATGTATTTTTGTTCGTTGCTATGCCGTTGTCCTTCGATCATTAACTCATATAATTTCATTGATAAATCTCAAGCCGTATTGTCTAGCGTTCTCGCCCGATTTTTAATAGTATTAAATTCTATTTGTAAGTGAGTTGTACTTCTTTTGCTAAGATAGCAAATTTCAAGTTTCGATTTTAATTGTTAGAAGTCATATATATCCTGTGTCTCGAAATTTATTAGGTATACAATTTTGCTTCCGCCGTTTTCCTATAGATGGCTTTAGCGGTAAGAGGTGGTCAAAATAAATAGATCATAGACGTCATACAATAAACTTGGGCATCTGTCAACATACCCCCATAGAAACATTAGTCGATTTGTGTCTGCATCATAAAGTTATTCCCGATTGAAAATGTCAGTTTACGAGCCAAATTCTCGTCATTTGCGGGAGGTTTTAATTTTTTGTTTCAATATGAAGAAATCTGCGGCTGAGGTTCATCGAATGTTCTCAAATACTTATGGTGCTCTCAAATACTTATGCTATTAGTGAAAGAACGTGTCGTGAGTGATTTCAACACTTCAAGAACGGTGATTTTGACGTCCAAGGTCATGCTCTGTATTTGGTGAGACCAGCTCGGCGTAGTGTATTATGAACTGTTAAAACCGACTGAAACAATCACAGGCGATCGGTATCGAACGCAATTGATGCGTTTGAGCCGAGCATTGAAAGACAAACGGCCGCAATACAACGAGAGATACGATAAAGTGATTTTGCAGCATGACAATGCTCGACTCCATGTTGCGAAAGTGGAAGACATACTTGGAAACGTTGAAATGGGAAGTCCTACCCCACCCGCCGTATTCTCCAGACGTTGCTCCCTCTGACTATCACTTGTTTCGATCAATGGCACACAGCCTGGCTGACCAGCACTTCCGGTCATATGAAGAAGTAAAAAATTGGATCGATTCGTGGGTAGCCTCAAAAGATGATCAATTTTTTCGACGCGGGATTCGTACGCTACCCGAAAGATGGGAGAAAGTAGTGGCCAGCGATGGACAATACTTTGAATCATAAATGTATAACCAGTTTTATACAATAAAGCCTCGAATTTCGGAAAAAAAACGGCGGAAGCAAAGTTGTATAGCATGATTACCTAATAGCATGATTAGAACGAGATATACGCATGTTTTGAACGGCTCTATGAGCGTCGGTTTACTCATCGTCGCTGAGAATATCAAATCAATGATTATTCCGCAACAGTACCAAAAGAACACCCCTAAATTTTTATCAAAAAGTATTAAGATTTAAAGGTTGCTAATCGATTTTTAAATCAAAGTTTCGATTATCTTTAATACGTGTTTGATTTGACGCAAAAGTGACACATGGATTTTAAGAATATAATATTATACGTTTTTTTGTCGCTGAACACGATGCAATAATTCATTTAACTTTACGATATAGCTAATTACGATAGATTCGCTACATCGTGATTATCTTAAATAGAATCCGGATAACCGTCAACCGTAATTGTCAACACGTAAACTGATATTTCCCTCACAGATGAATATTAAAAAGAAAGGAAAAAAAAGTGAAAAGAAGCATAACATTATATGGAAATAAATATTATTTTTATTGTAATATATTTGTATGTTATTTTAATTTCAATTATTAGTGGTTCTTATAATAGAGAAAGAAGTCATACATAGAAAGAATAGAATTGAAAAGTATAGAAAAGGAAGAAAATGGAAGGAGAAGAAAAGGAAAAGGAAAAAGAAAAGGCAGAAAGAAAGTATAAGCTTGCTCATAGGTGGCATTAGTGAGTGTACAAAGCTACCCTGAGCACACAACACACTTTTTGTGTTTGACATCTGTCAAACATTAACCAGTGCACATCATCAGCAATTTCATACAACAACATACATTTTTTTCTTTCGTAGTCATGTCTAGTTTTTTGCTAAAAAAAAAAGCATATGCGGGAAGCTTTGCTTTTCTGTTTCAATTTGAAGAAATCGGCTGCCGAATCGCATCGAATGCTTGTGGAGGCCTATGGCGATAATGCTTTATCGGAAACAACGTACAAGATTGGTTTCGCCGATTCAATGACGACAATTTTAACCTGAGTGACAAGAAGCATGAAAATCGGCTCAGGAGGTTGAGGACTATCAATTGCAGGCTTTTTTGGACGAAGACGATACCCAATTGCAAAAAATGCTTGCCGAGCAATTGAGTGTTTCTCAAGCAGCCATTTCCATGCGGTTACATGCCATGGGGAAGGTTCAAAAGATCGAAAAATGGGTGCCGCATGAACTGAACAATAGGCAGATGGAGCGACGCCAAAACACATGCCAATTTCTGCTTGCTAAACAAAAAAGAAAGTTCCTGCATCGGATTGTGACAGGCGATGAAAAGTGGATCTATTTTCAGAATCCTAAACGCAAGAAATCTTGGGTTGATCCCGCCCAACCATTAACATCTTCCTCAAGAAAAATCGCTTCGGGAGATGATGTGCATTTGGTGGGATCAGGAGGGTGTCATTTACTACGAGCTATTAAAACCTGGTGAAACTGTTAATGTTCACCGCTACCAACAATTGATCAAATTGCACCGTGCTCTGCGTGAAAAAAAGCCGCATTATCGGAAAAGACATGACAAGCTGATTTTCCTCCACGACAACGCACCATCGCACACGTCAACAATGGTCCAAAACTACTTGGAGACACTCAACTGGGAAGTGCTACCCCATCCCGCTTACTCACCAGACCTGGCACCTTCTGATTATCACCTGTTTTCGTCGATGAGCTACGCGCTTGCTGAACGGCATTTCAATTCTTAGAAGACGTCCGAAAATGGCTTGATTAGTGGTTTGCCTCGAAAGATAAGGAATTTTTTTGGTGTGGTATACACAAATTGCTCGAAAGAGTATGGGAAAAATGTATAGTTAGCGAGAGCAAGTACTTTGAATAAATTTATTTTTGCTTCCTAGGAAAAAAACATGTGTTTTTCTGACTAAAAAACAGCGGATTTAAGCTTATACACCCTATATAAATTATAATTATATTAATATTTATTATTCGGATGTCAGCTCGATCCCAACGGGCTGCGCGCGGAGAGCCATTGCGTGCAAATGAGTGTTTATTAAAGCGAAATAGTAACAAAGTTATCGCATGGTCAGCTTTAGTAAGAAAACGATGGTCATTTTTAATCTCTCATAAACAAGTAAACATTTATTTATTTAGAAATATATGCGTATACGTACGCATGTAGATGCACATGCGCGTACACACACACACACACACACACACACACACACACACACACACAAAAGGTATAAATCCGACTGGACAACCTCCATGCGGTATACACTGAGTAATGTTAATGTTACCGATGGTATCGTAACTTTTAATCTTCATAATTTGAGATTTACTTAATCGAAAGATATTTTATTATAGGGTTTTAGAAAACTCTTGACATCGGCTATTCTAGAATAAAAAGTAGGATATTTCATTAAAAAAAATCGATGTGACCTTGATCTGATCTTGGCAAAGTCACTCAAGGTCAAACTGATATGATTAATAAATCTTTTTAAACTTCATAATTTTGGTCTGAACATATTTTTGATTGGATCTTATCATGCGGAGATAAAAAGGGTGGATGGGTGATCTGAGACACCTTGCATATGTGTGTGTGTGTGTGTGTGTATATATATATATGTTTATATATGTGTAATAATAGGAGTCAGGGCGAACAAGAAAAATTCGGGCATCGGATAACTGTGTTTGTATTTCTTAAGAAGTAGTAATAATAATAAATCTAATCCTGCCAAAAACTCTCTCTCTCTCCTTTGCGCCACCTGACACGTTTCCTACTGCTGCATTTTAGGAGAAAAATTATTGCGTTCTTTCGCCGCTTTCCACATTCAGCCATTCTGCTACCTCTTCGGTCTCGGAAGAGGGTATAGAATAAGGTTTCATTAGATCAGCGACAGTAGATATCCTTTTCGGGCTATCGCCAATTCCAACCTTGACCATGTCATAACGTGTTCCTCTTGATCTTGATCACTCAATAAGATAGAATTTCGGGCTAATCTTCAGTCCAGTTCCAAAGTGGGTCTTTTGTATCGCCACGAGGTTCCCTTCTGCGTACATGATAGCAGATTTAGTGATTTTGTAATGGTGATTCTTTTCTTGGATTTTTGTGTTTGCTATCTGCCTCAATTCTTGTCAGTCTTCGTCATGTAATTTAGTTATTTCCTATTCAATGAAATTTCAACGTTTTCTTTTTGTCGCATCTTAATCCCGAATAATACTTCGATGTTATCTCAATACTTCTCTGATAAGGCATTGATACATCGTTGAACATTATCCGTAAAACGAAACCTTTTTGTTAGATCATCTATACTTATTCGTTAACATAGGAAAGATTATTCTATGAATCCTGTCCACTTGCCCATTCTCTCCAAGAATCTCCGGCAGTGATTAGTATATGTTCAATTAGCTCTTGTGTACAATAATTCTTGAAATCTGATGAAGTATATGCAGAGCCTCTGTCAGTTACAATTCGGGAGAGATTGCTAAAAATTCTTTTAGCTAGCTCCTTTAACTTATCCGTACTTCCCTCATATTTGTAGTTTTGTTGAGATAAATATGAACAAATTTTGAAAAACCATCGACTATCACTAGAAGATACCGATACAGTTTGCCTTTAGCAGTCATAGGGCTTAAATGATCTACATTGCAAGTATATAATAGTTGGTCACTTTTGACTAAGTGTGGGTTAGGTTAGATTAGGTTGTTAATAGATTATCTCGTTTTCCTTTCTTCTGTTCACTAATACACAAGGTACACGACAATTTATGAAAGCTTCTAATTTGCTCTTGAGGTTTGATATATAATAATTCTTGTTAATCATTTTTGTCTTTTCTTCACACCAAAATGACCTTGATTGTGTATTCGTCGAATCAAGTCAGTGTGCATACATGCGGGTAATACAATCATAGTTATCCATTCGTATCATCCATTCGTTTCATCAATATGCCATCATTAAGCATAATCTTAGTAGGGACCTCTTTCCAATAATAATTTGATGACTCGAAGTTTTTCTTTTTCATTTTGCTTCTTCCGTATCATTACTAAGTTTGTCTTCAATTAATATAGTTGGAAAATGCTTAAGCATCAACATGTTTTAATTGAGTCTCTAGTCGATGTTTGATAGTATGAGAATTCTTCTACAGCTAGCGTTCAACGTGCGATCTTAGGAGATATTTCTTTCTTCATTAACGCCTTTTATACCACTTCACAATCCGTCATTATTTTGAAAGCTAGTAGCTCCTAACAGGTAAACTCTGAAATTTTACAGTGATCGCAGGATTGCTAAGATTTCTAATTCGTACGAGTGGTATTTTCTTTCGGCGTTTGAGTTCTTACTGCTCCAATAATAAACTAGGTAGAAGTATTTTTCATCTTGATTCTTTTACAATAGTATCTTTCTGAGCTAGCTGTGTATATTATAGGATGGCGTTAATATCATAAATGCAAAACACTGGTTCTTGCGATAGAATATTCTTTAACATCAGAATCGCTCTTTTCTGTTCTTCGCTGATATAAAAACTTTTATCCTTTTTCGATAAATCGGATCGAGCGATCCATACATAATTGTAAACAAATTTATGGAAAAATCAAGTAAACTACCAACCTGCAGTTCAGATATTGACTCTGGAAAGTGAGATTACTCACTTTCTTAACTTTGGCTGGCTGTACATGATCATTTTCTATTTCATGTCCTAAAAACTCAATCTTCGTCCTAAGGAAGCTGCTTTTACGCTAGTTAATATTTAATCCGTATTCCTCTGCTGTTTTAAGAGTCCTCACTAATTTCTCATAGGCATCTTCGTAATTTCTGGTATGACGATATCCATATTAATTATTACTATCTTTTGACGTATAGATCCTAAAAAACTTCAATTATTAAATCTCATAAAACTGCCTGGACTATTACATAATCCGAAAGAGGTCATCATAAATTCATATTTTCAGGAGTTATAAACGTTGTAAATTTTCATTCTTCCGCAACCGACATGTGAAAGAATCCGTTTGTTAAATCAATCTAATACTCGTGCATCTTTTAAACTGTCAATTTTCTCTTTAATAATGAGTACTGGAAATCTGTCTTTGATTATCTTACGATTCAATAACCAGTAGACTCAATAGTCTATGCACATGTAGAAAACATTCTTCTTGGGTACTATTACGACCAGGCTGGCGTAATCACTTTGACTTGGCCTTATGATACTTTAATTCAATCTTTTATTTGCTCATCAAGAATCTGTTTCTTCTTCGATGCTAATCCTCGGGGTCAGAGATTTATCGTCGTCACTTAAGATGATCTTCATCTGAATGGATGTTTGCATTTTTTTCCTTAGGCGTATATTCTTCTACTAGCTTGCTGATTTTAGATTTGTATGACTCTAGAATTTCGTACTTGTCTGGCTTGGTATTTATTAGTATCATTCCATGAATTTCGTCGTTGATCATTGAAGTATCCTTTTTTGTTTTGTTCTCCACTTGTTTTTCGGCGATTTTGATTTTGTTTCTTCTGCGCTGATTCTACTGATAGTGCGGACATCATTTTCAGTACCACCATTGGTATATCTCGGCTGGTGCCTTTATACGAGATCCTTCTTATTGTAATCCGGCCGGATTTACTTCTTCTATATTAGAATCTCAATTTCTTTTAATATTGTCCTTCCAATAATTAGTTCTGACGTCATCGGAGCCGTACATCTGTGTCGATTAGGCATTCATAGCATTTCTCATAGACTTCGTTACTGTATTGCCAAGACCTGTAAACACTCTTGTAATTTTCTGTAATTTAGAAACTTCTATCCGTTTACTGACATTTTCGTGCATAAATTCACATCGCTTCCTGTATCTAAAAATGCCTCGATATTATTTCCATTTATTATCAGAGAACAGTTTTGACGTCAACTATTCTGATTACGTTGACATCCTTACGTTTTGTTTCTACAGATTTCGTGCACTTTGACGAAATATGTCTAAATTCATTGCATTGGAAACATTTTAGCCTTTTTTTTTATATGCAATTTTGTGATCCGTGGCATCATATCTGAAACAATGCACTCGCTTTCCATCTTTTCTCGTTTTATTCTTAGCTGTTTCCTTCTTTCCGAAGTTCTTGGATTTACCTGCTTCCTTCATTTTATCATATACCTCAAATTTCTTTTTAAGTTCGATGCGACACTAAGATTGTTTTGTTTGCTTCTTCATTTTATACACCATCTATTATATGTTGGATTAATGCTTCTATTTCGATACATCTTTGACTTGCTATTTCTTGCATCGCATAGACATACTGACATCCATTTCATTCGCTCTCTTACGTTTTGAAAATTCCTTATGTACTAATGTGCTATTTAAATCCGTCTTGAACTCGCGTAATAACTTTTGTTTTAGTGTATATGATAAAATACCACGTAAGTAATGAATTTCTTGGCTAAATCTTTTAAGAGTCTTTTACCATAAATAATCTTTTGCAATTCGTTCCATTCGAATAAAAAACTTAGATCCTTGTAGTCACTCAACCACTTTTCGATAGATAGCTCATCATCATCTAAGAAATGAGTGATATTATTCTCTATATCCTTTATAGTGAATAGGTTAATTGATGCAGGTTCTCGCGTGCTTCTTTTTCGTGCTCTTCGATGTATGTCTCTTCATCTTTGATTCACTGTCACTTTCTTCCTCTTCCGTTTTGTCTTCTGTCTCTTCTCCGTCAGTGTTTTTATCTGTCGTTTTATTCTCTTTTATTTCTTGGATGTGTTCTTTTAATGGTTCCTTCAATTCTTGTTTCTTTCCATCTCTTGCCAAATTTAATTGTTTAAATTCAGTTTTTAATTGTTTCGCTGTCATTTTATCAATGGTTTCAACTGCTTCTTGTTATCTTTTTTACTTTTACTGTCATCTTTTTTGTTTTCTCTTCTTTTTTGTCTTTGTTTATCCAGCTTCTTTTAATCTCCTTATCAATTTTGTTATCTGCTTTGTTTGTTCCTTTGTTTATATTGGGCATGATTATTTGGTTCAATACGTCTTCTGTATTGCTATCTTCCGTGTCACTTCCGTGTTCATCGATATTCGACATCTTTCTTGTTCTTCTTTACAAGTCAATCTAACAGTTTCGTTCTGTGCTACAACATACAAACAGCGTATCTCAACTTTATACCGTCATTCCAATTTTTTGCCTCAAGACATGGTTCTGTCAAGCTAATCTTGTCAATTTTATTTACAACGTAGCGTGTAACTTACGTACGTTTAATTTACGGATACAACAGCCGACACAATCTTTTTCAAGCTTCTCCCTTACTCGCTTGAGCTTCCCGACTGAGTCCCCAAAAAGTAGTAATAGGAGTAAAGGCGAACTTCAGAGTCAAGAAAAACTTGAGAGCATCGGCTAATTGTGTGTATTACTATTTCTCAAGAAATAGTAATAATAATAAATAAGTAAGGCTAATCCTGCCAAAAATTCTCTCTCTCTTCCTTGCGCCACCTGTCTGACGTGTCTTTCCTACTGTTGCTTCCTACGGGAAAAACTAGTACGTTCTTTTGCCACTTTCCACACATACGCACGCACGCACGCACGCACGCACAGGAAAGGAGGACTCCCTATGATCTCCAAAAGTACGCACTTTCAAAGAAAATGATTCAAGTAACAGTTGTAAGAGTCATGAAGGATTATCCTTTGGTGACCTTGAATTTAATCTTAAATAATTAGTTGAAAGTCACATAAGGATCAGTTCTAATTTCTTAAATGGAACCCCCATTTTCCATTAAATATTCTTCTGGTTAACCCTGAGAGCTTTTCAAAATACTATAATAAAATATTTTTTCATGAAGTACATTTCCAGTTATAAAATGAAAATTACAATATCGTCGGCATTAGGATTACGCAAAGTGTCTGACCAACGGTACCTAATTTTTATTTTTGCACTAAAAATTCGTTTTTATGTAAATAAGAGGAATAATCTCCAATGTGATCTTGATCTCGACAAATATTATTCAGGACATGAACAACGTTCTGAACAACGTTCAAGATATTTTAGCTGATGGTCAGACATATTGCGTAATGCTAATGCCGGCGGTATTGTAATCTTCAAGTCTTACTTAAAATGTACTTTATGAAAAAATATTTTATTATTAGATGTACAACTTTGCTTCCGCCGTTTTTTTCCGAAATTCGAGGCTTTATTGTCAAAAACTGGTTATACATTTATGATTCAAAGTATTGTGGCCATCGCTGGTCACTACTTTCTCCCATCTTTCGGGTAGCGTACGAATCCCGCATCGAAAAAACTGGTCATCTTTTGAGGCTATCCATGAATCGATCCAATTTTTTACTTCTTCATATGACCTGAAGTGCTGATCAGCCAGGCCGTGTGCCATTGATCGAAACAAGGGATAGTCAGAGGGAGCAACGTCTGGAGAATACGGCGGGGGGGGGAGGGCGTCCCCTTTCAACGTTTCCAAGTATGTCTTGACCACTTTCGCAACATGGGGTCGAGCATTGTCATGCTGCAAAATCACTTTATCGTGTCTCTCGTTGTATTGCGGCCGTTTGTCTTTCAATGCTCGGCTCAAACGCATCAATTGCGTTCGATACCGATCGCCTGTGATTGTTTCAGTCGGTTTTAACAGTTCATAATACACTACGCCGAGCTGGTCCTATCAAATACAGAGCATGACCTTGGATGTCAAAATTACCATTCTTGAAGCATTGAAACCACTCACGACACGTTCTTTCACTAATAGCGGCCTCATAGCCATATTTGAGAGCATTCGATGAGCCTCAGCCACAGATTTCTTCATATTGAAGCAAAAAATTAAAATCTCCCGCAAATGACGAGAATTTGGCTTGTAAACTGACATTTTCAATCGAGAATAACTTTATGATGCAGACACAAATCGACTAATGTTTCTATGGGGTTATGTTGACAGATGCCCAAGTTTATTGTATGACGTCTATGATCTATTTTTTCGACCACCATTTACCGCTAAAGCCATCTTTAGGAAAACGGCGGAAGCAAAGTTGTACACTTAATATTTGAAAAGCTCCAGAGTAGCTACAAGAATATTTAATGAATAATGTGGGTTCTATTTAAGAAATTAAAAGTGATCTTTATGTGATCTTCAAACAATTATTCAAGTTCAAGGTCACCAAAAATCCTTACTTTTATTCGGGTCATTTTCCCTGAAAATATATACTTTTGGAAATCATAGGGCGGTTCTATTCTTTTCGAATATTCTGTATATTATACATATTTGTATATACAATATTAAAAGGTCAGTAACGCGCGCCTGTTGTGTTTTAGTTATTGTTGGAGAACAGTAAATATTCGAATATTATCACTTATAAATGTAGCATTAAAATCGATAATACACAAATTTACATTTAGACAATTTATGATTAAAGATAATTATGCACATAATCTTTTTCGAATTTCGATTTTTCGACATTTTTCGACTGGAATGTTGATAACAATGTTTATGAAAATATTATGCCTTAAATGGTGATAATAAACGAGGGAAGACACACACACACACATACACACACACACACACACACACACACACACACACACACACACACACACACACACACATATATATAAAATCTACCTATTTTTTTAGTCATTTATTGGATTGTCCGGAAAGTTCATGCCGATTTTGAAGGAAAATTGAAACGCAAAAGTTTAAATTTTAATATACATTTATTAAATTATATAGGTTAATTGGCACGAACTTTCCGGACAACCCAATATCTTTAATATAGCTCCTACAGTGATTTATTATATAGTGAATATATAGTAAAGTACAATATCTTAGACTTTCCATACGAAGCGAGATTTACTTCACCTACTCCCTAAACAGAGGATAGATCTTGTTTCACATGAAAAGTTATTATGTAAATCAGAAAGGGTGTGATTCTTAATATTGTATATATCAGAAATAGGACGTTATTTTTTTTGTTAATAACCTTTTAACGATTTAAATCTTTTTCAAGGTCACTCAGGTCATACCTGATAACATATGTCAAGGTTAAAGTCAAAGAGAAGTTTCACTCATTCCATTTTTACTATAAATAGTTTTAAAAAATGAGGTTATACATTTTTCGACTTCCCCAGTTGATTATCACTGTTTAAATCAAATTTTTATCAAAATTATAGTCCAAAATGTCAAAATTCGAAAAAAGCCCCATTCTGCATAATTACTAAATTATTCATTCATCTATAATATGTAACTTGTTTATCTTACCTGTTAAGTTCATATTTGATGTCTCTTATCTTCTTTCCTTTTTCGGAAATTTCATTTTCCAGTTTTTCTATCTCAGCATTTGCATTGTCGAAATCAGTTTGCAGATTCATTTTCTTTAGCATCAGCTTGCTTATTTCCTTTCGCAGTTTCTCGTCCGTTATTTTTTGATCTTTTATCAAACTTTCTAATCTTGTTAGGTTATTCGCACTTGCCTCAATAGATACGTTCGCAACCTGCATTTTTTATTATTTTTTAATAATTATGTTAATTGATATATAAACGTACATGTATATAAAGGGTGTCTCACAATTCGCGATCGAAATTTTAATAATATATATTATATATTTATATATATATTATATATTATATATATTATATATTAATAATAT